CCCGACAGCCAAAGCTGACCTGGTTGACACATAATCGTAACAGTGAGCTTTCTGATGCAGACACTTAATGACCACATGCTTTACTAAAGTACAGTGGTACCTCAGCTCACGAACGCCTTGGTTCACAAACGAATCGGGTTGCAAACAAAAATTTCATGAAAATTTTGACTTGGGTTCCAAACTCTGCATTGGGTGGTGACCAAGATCGCAGCCATCTCGCCCACCCTCCGAGTGGGGAGATGGCCACGATCGCAGTTGCTTTCATGCAGGGAAGATGTGTGTGATCACGGGCTCCTGCAGGAAAGACAGATGCAATCTTGGCCATCTCCCCCCTCCCAACCAACACGATCGCAGCCATCTCCCCACTCACCCCCCGAGTGGGGAGATGGCCATGATCGTGCTGGGGCAAGCGGGGGAGGGAGATGGCCGAGCTTGCGCCTGTCTCTCCATCCCCCAGCGTGTCCCGTTCACGTCCGTCTCTCTCTCCCTCAGTGCGCCCGTGATTGCGCCCGTCTCTCCCCCCCCCCACCCCAGCGTGCCGGGATGACAGGCACATGCAGGGATGATGGGCATGTGCAGGAATGACAGGCACAAGCTCGGTCATGCTGTCGGGGCAGGGAGATGGCTGCGCTTGTGCTCGGGGGGGGGGGGGGGGGGGCATGATCTTTGTTGCTCTTTGTCACTTTGCTTCACATTTTTCTGATTAAAAAAAATTAGTTAAAGAATGGATTAACCTTATTTACATTGAACTTTATGGGGAAATTTAACTTGGCGCACGATCAGAGTCCTGGAAGGGATTAAGTGAGGCAAGGTACCACTGTACTTACTAGATGCTAAATGACAGCCAGACCTTCATATCCCCATTGGGGGAGGTATTGTCCTGCCCCAGTTATGTTCTTCCAGGTTCAGCATCAAGACAGCAGTCAGGGAGGTACCGTTCCTGCGGTCTATTCCACCACCATGGTCCCTGTCCAACAAAGCTTTAGTTTCAAGAGAATATGTATGGCAGTTGGAGACCAGGACATGATAGGGAATCCATGGTTATACTGCTTACCTCACCACTCTATAGTCTCCCTGATGGAGTAGGTATTACTAGGAAACACTATCGGGATCAGGTCCTGCTTGTGGACTTCCCATGAGCATCCAACCGGACACTGAACAAACAGAATGCTGGACTCGACTGGCCTTTGGCCTGATTCAGCACAGCTTCTCTTACGGCCTTATGAGGCCTAGGGGATCAAGCTACTGTTCTGAAAAGCTTGCTGATCTCATATCTGAGCACCTTACATTCTGCTCCCATCTTTTATTTAAGTTTTCAGAGTTGTGGCACTGGTTTTATGAGAGGATGTTCTAGAATCCAGAGTTATTTTCTTGTTCAAAGTTCACCATAGTTTCCCAAACTTTCTAAGCACTGGCTACATGAATACATGTTTTATTTTTAATTAGGAGATAGCTATGCTTGAAACAATGTTCTTGGCAATAGTTACATTTTTATTGCAAGTTGAGCACTTTGCTTCCACTATTTAACTGCTTGCAAGAGCTGATAGGTGTCTTTTGAGTACTATATTCATGATTTGTATATATTTCAGTATATTTCCTTGTTGTTAATATTCACGTTTATAAAATATGACCTTTCTCAAATGTTTACAGAAAGCCAGCTGAGACAGCACATGAACAAAGATTAAGATCATTATATTTAATTATGCAAAACAAGGTATATTGGTACAGGTAACTTTGCATAGAACTTAGCAGAAGCAAAGTGCACAGCTATGCATAACAAAAGAAACATCAAATCATCAACGGTGATACAAGTAATTTGTCCCTAAGATACATTACCTTTGTCCGTTGGACTTCAGTCCAGATGACATATTGGTCCCCACCAGGATATTCATGTTCGGATCTCTTGATATTTTCATTATGATTAAAAGGTGGAGGGAAAGGGAAGGCTAGGATGTGCTTGGGGTTATAGTGCTTGGTGAGGGGATTTGACCTGTCCCCACATACATACTATATTCTCCTGACAGTGACCCTTCTGACAGCTACGTGGGAGAAATATTATTTCAGACATTACACCAAAACGACCCAGGAAGCAGTGCTGGGGTGCTACTGTATGCTACTGAAAGATGTATAGAAGACAAAGATTTTCTGACAGCCTGACAAGGACCTGTGAGCTTCCAGGGCTACTGCTGCTTCTCCTCCTCTCGTACTGGAGGTTGGATATCATCACTGTCCTTGGATGTGTCTAGCCATGAGGCTTATACTTGGAAAATATGTGGTGGCTTTCTGTTGTTCTCCACGTTACAGTGCTACAACCAGTTACAATGGCGGCCATCTTCCCTCCCATCCGCATCTCTTGCCTCAGCCTTGGTTTTGCTGCTGCTGCTCCCCAAAGTCAGGTGCAATATAGGGGTGACTTGTGTCGTGACACAAGGGGTGACAGGCCTTCTGCTCAAGCTCCTTCACCCAAAATAGTTGGCTTTCCTAGGGCTCAAGCTATTTACCTCCGCATACTCAGCAAAGGCTGTATACTGTTGCCCTGCCTATTTAACTTATATGCAGAGCATATCATGAGAAAGGCGGGGCTAGATGAAACACCAGTTGGAATTAAGATTGCTGGGAGAAATATCAACAACCTCAGATATGCAGATGATACCACTCAAATGGCAGAAACTGAAGAGGAACTAAAGAGCCTCTTGATGCGGGTGAAGGAGGAGAGCGCAAAAGTTGGCTTGAAACTCAACATTAAGAAAACTAAGATCATGGCATCCGGTCCTCTCACTTCCAGGCAAATAGATGGGGAAGAAATGGAGGTAGTGACAGATTTTATTTTCCTGGGCTCCAAGATCACCGCCGGCAGGGACTGCAGCCAAGAAATTAAAAGACGCTTGCTCCTGGGGAGGAAAGTTATGGCAAATCTAGACAGCATACTAAAAAGCAGAGACATCACCCTGCCAACAAAAGTGCATATAGTCAAAGCTATGGTTTTCCCAGTTGCAATGTATGGCTGTGAAAGCTGGACCATAAGGAAGACTGAGCACCGAAGAATTGAGGCCTTTGAATTGTGGTGCTGGAGGAGACTCCTGCGAGTCCCTTGGACTGCAAGGCAATCAAACCAGTCAGTCCTAGAGATCAGCCCTGACTGCTCTTACTGAAGGTGGAACTCAAATACTTTGGCCACCTAATGAGAAGGAAGGACTCCTTGGAGAAGAGCCTAATGCTGGGAACAATTGAAGGCAAAGGAAGAAGGGGACGGCAGAGGATGAGGTGGCTAGATGGAGTCACTGAAGCAGCTGACCTGAGCATAAGTGGACTCTGCGGGATGGTGGAGGACAGGGAGGCCTGGAGGAATGTTGTCCATGGGGTCGCGATGGGTCGGACACGACTTCGCGACTAACAACAACTCAGCAAAGCCTATGGCTTTCCAGAGGTTAGGAACATTGAATGTCTGTTGACTTTGAGGGGAGAAAGGAACCCTGAGAGCCTTTGTGGTGACTAAGGGACGCATATTCTGGGGTTGGAAAGACAAATCATCTCCCTCAACCACGCAAAGGACTGAAGACCTCACAGTATTGGCATCCTATGAGAGAACAGTCTACCAACAACTTTGTCTCAACATTCATTCCAACATTTGCTCGGCTTACTTCAGCCTATATTAGTGATGTAGAACAGCTACTCTGAATATATTTGTGCATATGTATGTGTGTCTACATACAGTAAAATCTCCATATGCACTGTTTCGCTTACTGCGGTTTCTCTTAACTGCAGTTGACCTCAGTCTGGAAACAAGGCCCAATGCACTGGAGTCTCACCTGCTCCAGGGGCATTTGTCCTGTGTCCTGTTGCAAGCCTTGTGCACGGCCACATGCCTGCTCCTATGTCTGGTGCTCACGCCCCCCGCCTTCAATGGGGGGGGGTGGCACACCATTCTGGGCTGGCCGCAGCAGTGGCTGAAAAGGGGTGTGTGGGAGTCCAATCCCTCTCACTGCCCCCCATGCCCGTCCACAGTACAGTAAGCCACAAAGCTGCAAACCTCCAATAGTGTTTGCTGCTAACCGAGGTTTCAGGCATCTAACTGGGGGGCTCGTCCCCTGGGCTCCTACTGTATATATATTATTAAAAATACTTTCAAGATCAATTTAACGCATCTGTGATTGTTACTGTTTAACACCTTATGTTCTTTCCCTCCCTTATTCTGTATATGTGCTTGTGGTTTTGCTCGTTTTGTATTCTCAGCAGTTTTTTGCTGATGTTTGGCTTTGTTGAAAGGTTGTAAAAATAAAATAAAATGTATATGTATAAATGTATATAAATGTATATATAAATGTATATAAAATAAAATGTAAAATAATATAAAAAGTAAAAATAAAAGAGAGAGAGAGAGAGAGAGAGAGAGAGAGAGAATTGGCTCTTCTTAAACATCCTGGAGGGAATCCAGGATTGGGATTGGGACTTAAGGGGAGAAGCCTTCTGTTGCACCACCTAAGGAGGCATCTTTGAGAGGGTGGAGATACGGGGCAACTTCTTCAGGGCAATTTTGAACTTTTGAGTATGAAAATAGGCCCCTCCGAATTTAAGGAGACTTACTCCCGGGTGCATATTCTAGGACTCTTGTCCTGGAGCTTCTAGTGCAGCCTTCCCCAACCAGTGGCTCCGCAAGTTAAGTTGGACTACAACTCCCAGCATCCCCCAGCCAGCCTCGCTAGGTGTGTACAGATTGGCTCACCGGGCAGTGAGCCAGCAACGCGGAGAAGAGAAGGAGGCGGAGAGCCCCAGGCAGGGCCAAGCCGCGGCCGAGCCCGCCCTGGCGACGCTCCGTCCAGATCCTGCAAGCGACCTTAGGCCTGCCTCGCCTGGGATCCGAGGGGCCCCACGAAGGGGGCGCCCTTGCCGACCAATCGGCGGCGAGGGAGCCTCCGAGGGCGCTGCTCGGATTGGACCAAGCGGCTGTCGCTCTGTGGCAACGGGGCGGGCACCTCGCACGGCGAGCGTGGAAGCTTTGGGCGCGGGCGAGTCCAGGGTAGAGTGCGGGACACGAGCCTGGGCAGGAGAGACGGCCGGCTGCTTCGCAGGAGGTGCGTGAGGGCCTGGCTGCGGGAAGTCGCCCCCGCCGCGGTGCTGCCTCTTGGCCTGCTTCGGGGGCCGGGGCAGGGTTCCCCTTCCCATTTGATCTCAGCAGAGACCACCAAGGACTGCTCCCTCTCCCCATGCCTGCAATCTGGGTTTAGGAAAAACCTCGGCGTTTCCACCTGGTAGTCCTGCAGTTTCGTTTCCAAGCCCTGCTCCGCCCCGGTGCTGCCTCCGTTTTCTGGCTTGTTTCTCTTTTACCTTTAACAGCCGCACCATTCAACAAGTGCTGCTCTCTGCAACGTCAAGTTGTGTTGAGGACTGCACTTCTCTTTTCCAGGCATCTAGAACAGTTATTTCTGAAGAGACATAGCATTACTATCTAACTATCTATTTCCCTCCTTTGCCTGCAGGCAGAAAAGCCACTAATGTGGTTTTTTATCCTGGCTGCATCTCCATTATGAAAAAAAAAAGATGTGCCTATTGAATTTAGAAGCATTCTTCAAGTGTGTGTGTGGGGGGGGGGGGGCGGGTTGTGTTATGCCCCTGAAGGCATAAAACTTTGCAACCCTAGTACAATCCAGAGGCAACTGGTAGTTTCTGACCATCCTGCTTTGCCTTTAAGACAAGTTGTGATCACAGCTCTGCATTAAACTGGCTTGGTTATCTTGAGTCTTCCAGCTGTGGCATTCTGTGAGTGGGGAGGACAGGATCTGAACTCAAGGCCTGTGCTTTGTGCCAGGAACTGAGGAGCACGTGTTGTTTCTGTGCAGAAATGGCCCACCAGAGCCAGGAGCAGAGCCTTCGGGAGGAGTTGACCTGCGCCATCTGCTTCGATCTCTTCCGGAACCCGGTCATGCTGGACTGCATGCACCACTTCTGCAAGGAGTGCATCCAGCGCTATTGGGACAGTTGCTCGGAAGTTGCCACCTGCCCCCAGTGTCGGCGAAAGTTCCCCAGCCGCTCCTTCCGCCCCCAGTACCTTGTTTCTGGAGTAGTGGAAACAGTTCGCAGGTGTACCTCTGAAGAGCACAGAAGGAAAATGCAGGTGAGACAGGGATTGCTTCCACTTGCCCCAGCAATCTGGGTTGCTGTCACTTTTCACTGAGGCATGGACCATGTCTTTCTCAATTAATGGTGGACCCCAGTGCCACTTAAATCTGGAAAAAGTGACTAGACCAATGATGACCAGACCTGAGCAGCGGCATGATGTAGATTGAAATAGGTCTGTAAATTGCTTTGGACTGTACCACTCAAGGGTAGGCAACATGTGGCCCCTGCTGTCAGCAAAATTATTTTTCCAACTCCTTTAAAAAATTGCCTGTGATGGCTACAGAGTGCCCAAACTTGTTTGCTAGCTAATTTTGACACTCCATTTGGCACTCCATGGCTGTTGTGGGTGCCATTTTTTGTATCTCTAGGGGGTGGCCTTCAGGAAAGCATCCTAGAGGCAAAATGGCTCCCGGATTTTCAAATGTTCCCTACTCCTGGTATGGCCCAACGAAAAGTATTTGAGAAATTGTGAGCCTGGGATTTTTGGACAAAGAGGGAAGTTCTGAATGAGCAGAACGTTCCAATAAACAATACACATTTAATAAAATGCTTTGGAAGCATTTAGTTGGAGGGCCCTTCTGATTCGGACAGTAGCTTCCCACTGTTATTTCCTACAGCATTTGAAGCAAAGGCAAGTAGCCTTTTGACAAAGATAAACAGGTACTTTATTGATAATCCTGTCTCCCATTTCCAGTTAATTTTCCCAACTGTTGACATAGCTGTCACTTGAGTTTAGCAGAGTTCGCTGAGCATCTCTTCAACCCCTGTGTACTTTACCCCATTCCTATTTTTAATTCCCTGGCAGTTTTAGTCCACCAGCTAATATTATTCTCTTGCATTTGAACTTTAGTTGCAGCTACATCATTGTAGGGCTGTTGTTTGTGGTTTATTAGGACATGACTTGAGGGATTTATCAAAGGTCAGGGATACATGTTCTGCCAATACTACGCAAACAAAGCTTAGCGGTACAACTCCACACATTTAGATATTAAAAAGTCCCACAATTCCCAGCTGCTCGGGTCCTGCTGGGAGTTGTAGGACTTGGTCTTCTGTCTAAACATGCACAGAATTGTGCCCTAACTCAAGTTGAGTCTTCTGTGAAGGGGAATTCCTGGCATAGGCAAAGTGTGTGATTTTCATTGCAGTGTTTGTTTTATGGATTTATTTGATTTCCTTACAGCCCAATAGCCAAAGGTCTTTGTGGAGTCCAAAATTCCCACTGGTCCACAAAGATCATTTCGTAGAATCATAGAATCGTTGAGTCAGAAGGGGCTAAGAAGGCCATAGAGTCCAAGTCTCATTTTATTCTCACAGTAATCCTGTGATTGGCTCAAAGCCAGCCAGTGTTTAGAGTTAGGGTTGATGGAAATGCACTCTCTACCCTGGACTGGATAGATGGAAGCAGTCCCAGCCATGGGTTGTTTAAATCATGGGGAGTCAAGACTGCATGAGGGCAAAATGCTTTGTGGCATTTCCCACAATTGGTTCCGCTTCAGAAATCTATTCCTGAGTTTATTTATTAGAGATTTTTATAGACTGCTTTCTTCAGCATAGAGTCATGCTTCCTAATATCCAAAACCATCATTGTGGTTGGTTGTTGAGGGAGAAACTACCTGGAGTTTTAACCCACATGGAAGGTTCTACTGGAGCAAGGGGTATATTGTCCCAGTGGAAGCCCATCAGAGGCCAGAGGGCCATGCTGGACAAGACCTGAGCCCAAAGCGGGGAGAGGTACAGAAATTTTCACTTCAGCACTCCCCTCCATAGTATCCACACCCACACCATGCACACTCACACTCATAAGTGTGCACACACACGTCTTTTGTACATGCATACATGTATGTATTTATCATTCTTAGAAACACCTCCAAGAGGCACTTCAGTCATACAAAATGGAGCATAAGAACCTGCTGAGAATGAAGCACGTGGCCAAGGAGAATATCTGCAGCCTGCTGGTATGGTACTTTTCCACCCTTTCTGCTTCTCTTTCTGGGGCAAACGGTTGGAGTGCAGGTGCTTAAGGAATGGCAGGAGCGGGCAAGGTGGAGGTGGCCCATCAAGCCAGTAGTGGAAGTGAGCTGCTCTTCTGGCTGCCTGTAGGAAAGGACTGGTACAGATCAATCGGAGAATCTTAAGCGCACAAAGAAACAAGCACAAAATAGAAAATTTCCAAGATCTGAGCCTTGAAAAGCTCATCCAGTCCACAGTGGGTGCGTCTTGCTGTGTGCGTTTCCATCTTGACTCCTTAAATCACAGGCAAAAAGATAAAGCAGCCCAATAAATTACAGTTGCTTCAGGGCTGGCACAATGTGAACTAATCATCTGCCCAGATAATCATTGATCTGCTGAGGCACCTCCGCAGAAGGAAAGATTAATACCTCTAATTGCCTAACTTGCACAGAGGGAGCTGAGCAGCAGGGAAATTGCTGGAGAGAGGAGAAAAAATGAGAGAGGGAGGAAGGAACAGAGGGAGTTTAATGCTGCTAAGCCTTGGCTTAGTATCTCAGACTTCCCACCCCACAAATTCCACTGGTCTTACAAGTTATGTTTCTCTAGGCAAGTTCCAACCCTGGGGAAAACAACAAAACATCTTTTAAGCAAGAAAGGTGGGTGGAGAGGTAGGGGAAAGGGTCTTTTGTATGACCCTTTGGAAGTTCCAGCTTGCCCCTTTTGATTATGGAGAAGTAAACAGGACAAGATGGTCTTCTGTTGACTTCTCAGGACAACAGTCAAGATGGAGGGAAGGTATATGGAAAATTTGTTGCGGTGATCCAGAGTTTGGGAGAGGAGCATCAAGGTGCCGCTGTGTGTCTAGGGATCACATGCCAGAGGCCTCTCCCCTCAATAACTCTTTTGGTCTTGGACTTTAAAAAAAAAAGGTTTAAAGTGCTTTTAGAGTTCTGTACATGGGGTGTAATAAACACAGGAAGGAAGGGAAAAATAGCAAGAAGAGTGGATGAGTGTAAACTATAGTAAAAAAATTCAATTTTCTATTATTATTTTTAATGTTTTAAAGTAACAGCATGTTTTTCAATGGTGCCCTGGCTATAAAGAGGGTACTGGGCCTGGATGATTTTTTCAGCAGGCCTGAGATGTCCCCAGTTTCCCCTTTGGTCTCCCTGATTCCAAGGGACTGTCTCTTGAGACCACTCTGATAGTAACATGCCTCCCCGCCAAAAATCTCTCCCATGCAGGACCGAGTGTGAAATCTATGCATACTTTGCCCCTTGTGATATGAGAGTGTTTTCCATCTGGCCCAGCATATTCTCCTTCGACTGCCTTGGCATCTGTGCCCCAGGATCTCGCATCGCCCTCTTGCTGATCCTTTTCTAACTGGAGATGCCAAGACAGCCTCCTTCAAGCGGGTGCCCTCCACTCGTGCTGGACTCTCATCATCCCCATGCCGCAGTGCCATTGACCGGACATGATGGGACTTCTCGTCCAGCACATCTGGAGAGCACCAGGCTGATAGAAGAGGCTGAGCCCGGGACCTTCTGAACTCAAAGCATGTGCTCTACCCCAGCTGTGATTATTTCTGCTGTGGGAAAGCAGTTGGATGGTTTGATTATTGACTGGTTTTGTTGGCCAAGCAGGAAATTGTAGTTGCTCATGCCCTGGTGGAGGAGGTGGCAGGGACTGCAACACAACCACCTGGACAATCCCTACTGCTCTCTGCACTTTCAAAGTTAATAGAAAGGGTGGCTGTTTATCAGGAATTATTGAAGCCTGAAAGCTGGCACTGGCAGTTCGTTTTAACAATTGTCACTTGGGAACTGTCTGTGGAGCCTGCTTGCTGGTTGGAGGCTTCTGAATTAAGCCCAGATCAGCTTGGGTCATGTCTTCCCAGTAGAAGCACTTTGGGGATCATAGGGACTAGTGGCTTTCCAAGTTGAGCATTATCACTTCTGTTGGTTCATTCAGCTTTAAGGGTCAGGAGGAAACACTACTGAACTCACTCAAACTCCGCATCCTGCTGATTGTTCCAAAATAATTATCTCTTTACCATTCAGAGAAGAGAAAGACTTCAATAAGAAAGGTATTTGGCTTTTGGCAATTTGAGCTCTTAGTGGAGCAAGATAAGCTGGCCGGGCAAGTTCTACACAGGAGCCAGATGGTTTAGGGGTGGCTAAGCTGGTCAACATCTGGCCTGGGCAGGCTCTGCGTTTGGGGAGCTGCCAGCCTGTGAGGAAGAGTCTTGCCGTCTCACGTGTTTCTTCCCTGTTTGCTTTTATGTGGGATGCATCGTAATCATTGTCATATTCAAATGTGTCCCACGTTTGAAAGAACGCACTCTCTATGCAAGCAGGCATGTGTGCCGTTTAGTATTCAGGGCTGTCATTTTTCTGAGCCTTTTCAGCACCACTGCAGGCACAATGCAATGGTTCTCCCTGAGACGATTGTCAGAGATGCCTTGAGTTTCATTCTGGAAGTTGCCGGAATCTCTGATCAGAAAACCAAAGTCTAAGTTTGATGCTATTTCACAGGTGGGGCCTAAAGGAGATAATTCATAGTTTCTGTAGATGGCATTCATTTTAAAAGAGCTATTAAAATCTCTTAAGATGCTGGAACATGTCACAACTATCACTTTCCTGGTACTGTGATTAATCTGAGCAGGATCTGTATTGGGCACAGTGTTGGTGGAAGACCACAACCATTCTTTTTGTTTTGTTGCTGATTTGGTTATGGTTTATAGTGCTATAAATTACTTGACTACTCAAATATATTTTCAAAAATAATCCCTTCAACAGGGCCTTTTAGGGAACAAAGCCTTCCTCAGTAGTTAGGCTACATGGTTTTCTGGAATTGGACGTCATCAGGTTTCCTCTTTCAGATAAGTGTTTGTGTATTTGCATTTGCAATCGTGACGCTGGCTGTGAGCTTGGTTGTCTTAAGAAACAAAAAGAGCCAGTGTGGCGTAGTGGTTAAGAGCATGGGACTGGGACTCAGACGACCTGGGTTCTAGTCCCCGCTCGGCCATGGAGCCAACTGGGTGACTTTGGGCCAGTCACAGACTCTCAGCCCAACCTACCTCACAGGGATGTTGTTGTGGGGATAAGATGCAGGAGGAGAATGATGTAAGCTGCCTTGAGCCCTTTGTAGGAAAAAGGCAGGATATAAATCCAAAAAAAAAAAAAAAAACTAAACTAAACTAGACCAAATGAAATGAAACAAGAAGAAACAATTGCAGATGATGTCATTTATTGCTTTTCTAAACTATCATCTGGACAGTATGGAAAAAAACTAGCCATCTGGAGAGTTTATAAATATTAAAACCTTAAAATACAATAGCAAAACCCAAATACATACAATAGAAAAAGAACAAAAGCATACATACATGTGGAGAGTCACGCATATATCTAAAAGCAAGTTTAAATAAGCAACAAGAAAATCATTCAAGACCTGATTAAACACCTCATCATATGCTACCAAATGCCCCAGAGAAATTATCTTTCTGTGTGGCTAACATCCATAATCTGTGTTCAGAGGCAATCTCTATTTGCATACTAGATGCTGCTGAGAGACAGTTTGTGGTTGGCTTCAAATTCTAAAGGCTACTGTAGAAAACACAAGACAGCACAAGTCTCCCGCACTCAAAGGTTGCCAAAATGTGGGTGATCAGGTTGTCTGAACATAGCTGAGAGAACAAACCATGGGGAACAACCCATAGTTCACAACTGAGCAGCGAACCTGGATTCTCACCCTGAACTTTAGTAAATCTAGCGTTGGACTAGATGTTTAGATCCGGAAGAGGCCTTCTGGCACCCTGCAATTATCTTACTAGTATTTAGAGGACTGGGAAAGAGAGGTGTGGGGTGTGTGTGGAGGAATAATTAGACCTTGGCAAGATAAGAGGCAGAGGTAGACAGCCTTTCCACAGCAACTGTAAAAAACGGAGTATTATGTTGTACTGAAAGAGAGATGGATGAGCTGCGTGTCTTGCTATAACTCATCAGAGATATAACCATTGTGTGTGTTGATTTATTTTATTTCTATATTGCCCAATAGCAGCAGCTCCCTGGGTCATGTGCAATGATCCATAAAATACAATATAAAATTTAATTAACATACAACACCATAAAATTTCACTAGAGATTTAAAACCGAATATTAAGCAACTAAGGCAGGTTCATACAAATAGGCCAATTAGAACAGCTGACATAACCACCCTGGTCCCTTTGATCTTGTTGATAGACTACAGTGGAGGCTGTCAGTAACAGCAGAAGGCCGAGGTGGCATAGTTAATCAGCACCACTCGTCAATATCGAGTGTGGCAGGTGCTGTGCACTTCAGAAGGAATCGTTTGAATCCCGAATTAACGTGAATCACTCGTAACGCGTACAGAAGCTTGCCGTGGAAGCCCTTGCATTCAGTGGGTGGCGGGTGGCTGGGCAGGGGGAAACAAACGAACTCCCCAGCAAGAGCAATACAGAGGTTTTGCGGTCATTGTGCCCTCCCCTGGGATTTGGATGGTCACCTCGTCTGAGATGACATAGATTGGAAATTGGAGGAAAGAGGTCAGAAGTGACAGTGTGGACAAGTTTTCTGTGTAATTCTGAAAATGCTGGATTGCCCTACTTGCAGTGGGGGTGCAAACCAGAGGCTGGGAAAAGAACAGAATAAGAGCTGCAAAGCAAGCATACAAAATGCCCTGGTGCTATGAAGAGTTCCAAAGAGGGCTGCTGCTGCTTCTCCTTTCCAAGAATAAGGAACTTGCTGCTTGCACTGTGGAGCCAGTCTGTCTGCGCTTTGGTGCATAGCCTGGACATTCCAGCTGGAGAAGCAGTTGCTTTGCTGCTCGTAAGTGTTCCTGCTGCGGAGCTTTGGGGGTTTTGCAACAAACCCCAAGCTGCTGCACCCTCTCTGAGGATGTTCTCATCGCTGGAAAGCTTGTGCAGAGCATCTGATTGATCCCCAAGCACAGGCTTCAGTTGAACTCCATGTGCCCAGCAGGAGACTGGCATCAGTGGGGCCCTTTGCCCGCTTGCTGGGCGTGAGTGCTGCCTGCCTTCTGTCAAGAGAGGCTGGTGACAGTCTGCGATGCGGAGCTTTCCTAGGTTAGGAAACCTGTTAACCTGATGAAGCTACTCCTGGCTTCCCTGCAGGATGAGGACAGGAGCACTGTACAACACATGTGACATGTCTGCATTTTCACAGCAAATATACATAGGCTTCAACAAAAATGAACCAGCTCCCCAAATCACACCTTCTGCTGTTTCTTGTGCTCTTTACTTCTGATAAGAAAACCTCTGGTGAGCTGAATGCAAAAATCCGGGCAGCGTTTCAGCATCTTCATCGGACCCTGGAAGAGGAGGAGAGGACTGTGCTGATGGACCTGGCCAGAGTGAAGGACAAGTGGCTGATGAAGCTGGAAAGAGACTCTGCGCGACTCGCGGAGGGGGTCTCTGAGTTAAAGAAGCGCATGGAGCACACACAGCAAGCACTGGACAAGCTGGGGAGCTCACTGCTGCTGGAGGTGAGGGGTCAGGAGGGTGGAGCTTGGCCGATGGGCGTCAGGGCCAGGTGTGTTCTTCCCCACCTGCTTTCCCACTCATACGCCAGCGGGGCGGAGTGGTCTCTGTTTTGGGTTAGGACTTGGGGGATCCAGGTTCTAGGCCCCACTCAAGCCATGAAACTCACTGGGCTTGAGTGGGGCCTAGTCACAGACTCTCACCTTAGCCTCTCTTACAGGGTTGTTGTGAGAACGAGTGGGGAGGAAGGCTGTGAGTGGGAAGGAAGGCTGTGAGTGGGGAGGAAGGCTGGGCACACCTGCTCACTGCACCCCTTTCCACCTCCTGCAGACACTTACAAGGAAGATTGCCACTGCACCACTGGGGTCCACAAACAGTCACAGCCCTCCTCTTGTGTGGTGTGGCATGGCGCGGCCGAGCACAGGAGGAAGTCTGCAGACGCTGGAGGGAGGGATTGCAACAGGGTTCATCCCAGCCCTAATCAGACTGAGGCTGAGGGGCGATGTATCCGAGGGCAGGCCTTTCTGGGGGAGCAGGCTGGGACGATCTGTGTGTGTGAGAGAGAGAAACAAGAGGGGAAATGCATGGTCCATGGGGAGCCTTTTTAAATACTATACTGTGGTCTGAAAGTGCTTGTCCTTATCAAATATTCAATTTACTATCCTGAATGAAGCCATCGTGGAAGTATCGTTTGGTCTCCCATTCCTGCTGCGCCTCGCATAGGTGAGGCAGTGAGCCCCACAGGCACGGAGGTTTCTTAGCAAAATGGAAAATGTCCCGCTGCCTCGTCATCCCCTTGCTGCCCCGGTCTTGCCATCTTCGTTTAAGTAGGCACTGTCACTGGCTGCTTAATGCAATATTTGTGCATAGTTACCATGGCTACTGTAGCATGGCCTTCAGTGAATTCTTGGAAGACACCCTTTGCCAGGAAGCCCAGGAGGGGGAAATCTGTCCTGCATGATGGAGCAGCATGCTTGGGGATCCAAGTCTTTGAGCCCAGAAAGGCAGGGAAAGGCAGTGCTGGCTTGGGTGGGCGTCCTCACGGGATGCTCTCGTAAGAAAGCATTGCTGTTGGCAGCGCGAGTGGTATGCCAAAGGCCCAGGCCTGCTTAGCTGTACCACAGTGGCTGTATTATCTCTTGTGGCTGTCATCCCTGTTCGATCGTGCAGCGTTATTTTCCCTAAATGTTGTCCTGCCCAGATACTCTAATGACAAAACTCTTGAGGCATTCTATGTAGTCCTTTCATTACCACCATCAGTCTCCTGTGCAGAAAAAAGGATGGCTGTAATGGCAGTTGTTTTACTGATTTTTACTATTTTGTAATATTAAGTAAACAGTCTTGAGGTTGCTTGTGAGTGCCAAAAGGTTTTGGCACATTGATTGAATACTAATAGCTGACTTGAGCAGGCCTGTGGCCCACAGACAGGACATCCCATTGTTCGGACTTCCAGATCCAGGGCTGTAAAAAAGCTGGGACCTTGCGCAGCCCCCTGCCCTGCCCCTCGCAGTGGGGGTGGGCAGAACAGTGCCAGCTGCTCCTCCAAGACCGAAAGAGCAACTTTGGGGAAGGGGCAGAGGGGATGTTCGAAGGGGTGGCAAAGGGCGTGTAAGATACAACCTGGCAGTGCTCAAGCCGCCTTCTGTCCCTAGGCAAAGCACGGCGGCTGGATGATCTGCAAAGCTGGCCATCTAGCCGATTGGCAGGGCAGGAAGAGCAGAAAGGAGGAGGTGGTCGCTGCACTTCTCCCACCCTGCATAGGATGCCCATAACCCTCCAAGACTGGAAGCTTGCAGTCACCACTGGATTGTGCCCATTATTGGATTGTTAGCATTATTCAGTAATTTAGCATCCTGCATACCGTGTGAGCACGTGTGTTGCACACATGCAAACACATGTACCCATTTCTTAGCCCAGACTGACTGCCGGAGCAACGTGAAACCGCAGTCTGTGAAGAGCGACGTGTGTGTGTGTGCAGTGCAGGCGTGGCAGTTTTCTGTGGTCCCTGGTGATGACTCGTTCCAGATTTCAGACCCTTTCCTCCAGCAGCAAAAGGGGTAGAGAGCATTTGTGGTGAAACTGAGACCCTCTTGGATGGTAGTGGAACAGACAAGCCACACGCTCTTCCTCCTCTTCTCTTCTGCTTACACAGTTTATATCACTGCGCTGGCCCCATCAGGATTAGCTTCTACTTGAAACTGAGTTTATAATTTTGTTTTTAATTGCCTGCTATTCAGAATAGAGGCAAGACAGAAGGCAGCAGGATGTACTTAAGCAGCTGCATAAAGATTAGGTGAGGTGGTGTTTATTAATTTTCTCTGCTTCTTGTCACAGGTGGAAAATGTGGCTGTAAGGTACGTGTCTGGAAAGAAAAAATGTTGCCTCTCTTTTCATAAGCGTCTTATCTCACCTCCTCTGCTGCACAGGGATGTTTTAAGGGGGCGGTGGCGGGGAGAATATTACTCTAGCTTTTAAAGCATCGAAAATAACACATTTGGAGAAAAGCTGGTGAGTAGCCCAAAGGAATATCACTAGGTCTGATGTCTGTAAACATCATCTGATGTTTCATGGAAGTCCTGGGCAAGAGGTTCGGATGTACAGCTAACGACACTGAAACTGAGACTTCAGGTTGAATTGTTATCCCAGAATTCACCATATTCCTTCCAGGAAATGCTCAGAAATAGACTTCCATGAAGAGGAGTTGGTGGTGCAGAATTTGCCGCCGAACCTTAACCCATGTCCAGGTTGCCAGTGCTACTTGTCACGCATGTATTGTCAGCTCTCAGGTGCGTGGCACATTTCCAGGTTGTGTGGCCATTGGCCAGGGGAGAAAGAAGATCTCCGTATACAGCTTGAGCCTTGGTGTGCAGCTGGCAAGCTGTACTGGCCCACCTTAACCAGTCATTGTATTTACCAATTGCGAAGGTGCCACACTGTGCTAATGATCAGATTGATCAAGAGATGTGCTTTCCTTTCTGTTCGCTCAGCGGTGAGCAACTTGTGGCCCTCCGGATGTTTCAGCCAACAACCCCCACTAACCCTGGCCAGTAAAGCCTCTGGTGAGTAATTATGGGAGCTGTAGGCCAAAACATCTGGAATTGCCCAGTCGTGTTCTTGCTAATGGCAGTGAAGGGCTGCTTGTGCCATTCACTCCCCAGTTCACTCCACTTTGCAAGGATGGAAGAGAGGTGGTCTGCGCTTTGCAGAGGAGCAGCAGGTCATATTCAGCCAGCAGCCTGTGATGGGCAGGTTGACGTGGGCCGCAGGAGCAGTGCCCTGTTCCCGAGCAGCTCATCCTGCATGCAAGGGAGAGCGCCAGAGAGCCTGCTGCCCTTTCAAGTAGTTCTTGAACGATGGGGGACCCAGGCCACCTACCTTTGGGATGCCCCCCCAGACTACTCTTTTAGGTGTCTACATGGGTCTGTGTGTGCATGGTATGACTCAAATTTGAGGGGGGTCGGGATGGGGTTTGTCGATTATATTAAGGGACCCCTACTTGCCATCCTCACCCCCTGTAAATAGAGCAATCTTAGCATGGCTGCTGCATGGAGTGAATGAATCAGCTGAACTACTATCATAACCATCTTACAGCCTCTTTCTGATGAAATGGAGAATTCAGTAGTCTGTTGCAGGGATGGGCAGAAAACAACTCCAGGTGGCTTGGAACAGTTCCCGGTACTTCTGCTGGTCATGCTGGCAGGGCTTCTGCGAGCTAAAGTCCCGAACACCCAGAGAGGTACCTTCTGCCCGCCCTGCCCCACTGCAGGGAATTGTAAGTCCCTTTGTTTGCAGTGAAGGTGCCACACAGCACAGAAAAGGCCTTCTGATCTGTTGTGATTTGGGATGACCAAACCTGAATCCTTCCTTGTGTCCCCCCCCCCCCCCCGCATTCTTTCTGCTGCAGGCCAGCAGTGCAAGTGGGATCACTGACCACCTTTAGCGTGCAGCAGTACCAGGACCTGTACGAGGGGCCCCTGCAGTACATTTTTTGGAGGAGGATGCTGAAATCCATCAGCCCAGGTGAGCTTGGCCTTGCTGGGACAGGCACGGCGGGAGCAGGGAAGAAGAGGGCCACTTAGAAGCACTGCCACTTCATCCCAGTGCTCTCTTCCTGCAGCTCCTGCCGCTCTGACCTTGGACCCAGACTCGGCTCACCCGAACCTCGTCCTCTCCGAAGACCTGACTGCAGTGACAGAGAGAGAGGTGCCCCAGTCTGTGACCCGGAGCCCCAGACGTTTCCTGCAGAGCGTCAATGTGCTGGCAAAGGAATCTTTTGACAGTGGGAGGCATTACTGGGAAGTCTGGGTTGGGAACAAGACTAAGTGGGATCTGGGAGTGGCCGCACACTCAGTGGACCGGGCAGCAAAAGTCAAACTCTGCCCTGATAATGGCTACTGGGCCTTACGCTTGAGGGAGAAGTCTCAGTATTGGGCTGCAGCTACTCCTTGGGTACGCCTGAAGCCACAGAGCTTGCTGAGAAAAGTGGGCGTCCTGTTGGACTGCGGGGCAAGGAAGGTGGCTTTCTATAATGCTGAGGACATGTCCCATCTCTTCACCTTCCACCAGGCCAGGGCCAGGAAGTTCTACCCCTTCTTCAGCACTTGCTTCAGTGATGGAAACAAGAACGCTGAGCCGATGAGGATCTGCCACCTGAATATGTAGGGGTGGCATAAAGTCTCTCTGCCAGACTCCTGAAGGCTCCTGGTTGCCTTCAGCGAGAGACACTGATGGGCCTCTGGCCTCTTGCCCTCAGGGGCAGTTCCTGCCATCTTCCTACGCAGAAGCAGAGAGATGCCTACTCAGGTAGTTCCCTTTTGCCCCTCAGTTCTTGGGTATCCCATCCTTGCAGCATAGTTTCTCTCCTGGGGAGTCCAACTGTGATTAGTGCATTGAGTGCAATCCTCTATATGTTTAGATGGAAACAGCTGGCTGTGGCATGCTGGAAATTGTAAGACTTTTTTTCTGTCTAAACATACATAGGCCTGTGCCCTAAGGGGCCTTCATATTTTTGTGGAAAGAAATTTTAGTAGGAAAAAAAAAAGAAATGGTTTTTTACTTCACAAAAACACATCTCAAATACACTTTAACCAAGCAAGCAATAATGTAATAGAATATATTATTAGAACCAGAAAAATATGAAATCAGAATATTACTGTCCAGATCCTGAGAAATGTTTCTAGGGGTGACTATATTTCTTCCCCTGGATTAATGTCATTAAAGTAAGGAATGTATCCCAAACCAGTGGGAGTCAGTAGTGCACAACCTCTGGATGAAAGAACGAAAGAAAGCAGGGCACAAAAGAAAGCTGGAGCTTAAAAGGCATGGAGGCAAAAAAGTATTCCTTAAACTCCCCATGAGCTGTGTCTGCTACTGACGCATGAAACACAATGCAATATAATCCTTCGTGCTGGTTTTGGAGGAAATATGAGTAGGCAAAAATGCTCTGAAATAAGCTTGCTCCATGAGACAGGACTAGGGATGCGTCAGGATTTTGGGTCCACGCCCCTAACAAAACAGCCTGATTCACACTTCCCAGATGAATATGTGGATCACAGCACAATTGATCCTTTGCACATCTCTGAATTTTGCAATAGCATTTTCAGTTCAAAAGTACACTAGAAGGCATTGAAGTTAAAACTACATATTACACCAGGAGGATGTGGCGCGCGCGCGTGTGTGTGTGTGTGAGAGAGAGAAATTGGGGTAGATACCTGCTTATGGGTTTTCCAAAAGACAATGTTTATAAGCTGAATAGCTAGCAGGAAGAAGTGGGGATAAGGCCTTTACACCCCTGAGACCTGCTCAACATCTTACAAGAAGCTGTTGCTGCTAATAAGGTGTCCTGCTGGAGACAGGAAGATGCAATTGTAAAGATGTCTAATGGTCAGGACATCAGGGTTGTAGTAATTCAGAGTAAGTGTGTATTTGGCAGAGGTGTGTCAGAGGTGAATCAGTCAGTACAAGCAGCAATTTGTTTCCATCATAATATGAATATCTCACTGTACCTCATTAACAGCCTCTGCTGCCGATTCTTCTCCTGGAGTTTTCCGTTTCATAGGTTGTCGGTCTCTTTCCACTGTTCCTGTAGCTTGATAAATCGGTCTTTCATGGAGCATTGACATGAAAGAATTTCTTGATACACGCAGTGGAATTTCCTATTCTTCAACTGTTGTTTTCTCAGAGGGCATAAGAGTTCCTGCTCTTGCTGCGGCTTCTCCATTCACCAGCAGGGGGCTCTGTCTGCCCACAGAACGTTCCAGCAGCTGCTCTTGACACTTTCTGCAAGGCTGTTGGCTGGCAGGTCTATACACATGGAAGCAAGGAGAAAAGGTGGTAGCACTAAGATCAGAGGGAATGACATGCAAACAATACAGAATGGGCTTCTTATATTAAAGCTTAAGTTTATGTAAACAATTACAGCGACCATTTGCAAAGCAGTGTTGTTCATAATGCAAATACCCTCTCATTGTTTCATTGGTTAAAGCTTTTAGCAGGATAAAAGCCATGATTTAGTCCACCAGTAATAAAACTGAACTTTGAAGATCAAGAAAAGTCTTGTACAGTAGTGTGTATTCTGGGAGCTTGAAGTATGATCCTGCTGACTTCTGAATATTGTTTCCATTTATGTGGTTGGTAGAGACTAACCAGTTGGTCCCAGGACTTCACAAGGGTTCTGTTGGCAGATGATAAATCTGTAGGTAACATTGGGAGATGTACAGGTGAACAGATCCTAGATGTTGTGGCTGGCAGGATTATGTCCTGAGCTTGTGCTGCCCGAGTAGATAGGGGGATGCAGTTCACTTTGTCTCTGCTTTTGTGTCTGCATTATGCAGCCTACTGTGGGTTGTAAGCACAGGCCGGCCTCCCACCCAAGGCCTGTGAAAGAGGGGTAGAATGGGTTCTGGTCACAGTGGATAAGCTGGAATGAGTTTAGCTAGGAACTGTAGTTGACAGCAAGTGGGATGCTATTCTTTCTCCTCTGGGTCTCTTCCACATTACATTCTTGTTTACTACCCTGTCCCTTTTGTGCTGCTATTTGGCTTCCTTGCATGGGTATCTTTGTATTTGCTGAGTCAAAACAGCTGCAGTCGTCCACCAGGACTTCAGCAGTCTTCACGCCACCCTCAGCTAGACCAAATCACATGAAAAGTCCATTTTCGGGACATTGCTGTGTGATCTCACAACAGACATACAAGTTACCTCAGAAACGTGTTGATTATGATATACCTGCTTCTGCCTTTTACCCACAACACTGCCAGATCCATGAACAACAGCCAAGCCCTAAAAAACAACCACCTTTCTGTCACATCAGATAGGCACTCCCAACAGAGGATTTGTATCAGGTATTTCATATGCTCTAGTAGCCACATGCTGAAGTGAAAAAGTGTATCAGCATGGCCAGATTGGTCTGGCAATGTCTTCATGTGTATGTAAGCCAGGGTGGGGGACATGGAGACTTCCAAATGTTGGACTGCACCCCTCACCAGTCCTAGTCAGCAAGACTCAGAAGGGATGATAGGAATTGCAGTCCAGCATCTCATCCCTGATATGAGCATTAAAGTAAGTGTCTGTCTGCATCACTTCATCTAATTTCCTTCAGATCTTCCTGCTTTTCCTCATCCATATTTGCCAACTCAGGAAAGCACTTGATGCACCTGAAGCTTTTGAAGTAACAATAGTATTTAAGGTAGCACAAGACTCTTATTAGTCATCAAAAACAAATACAAAGCAAAACAAAAGTGGCTATCATTCGAAACGAGAGGGAAACTGCCTTACAGTGGGGGGGGGGGGGTGCAATTGAAAGCAATGCCAGTCTGCCTCTTGTAAAGAGGACTACTGTGGTGTTGATGCTTCTAGTCTATAACTTGTTTATCTTGAAGCCAGCCTTGACGTACTCTAAAAAGGATTATTCTGTAGGTTGCACATAAAGTGAGGTGACTTCACCTATCTTAGTGATTAGAAGTGAATAATGGAGTCCCTTAAGGCCTGAACAAAAGCTGCAAACTGAGCACAGAAGCCAGTTTGGAATAGAAAACAGATCTGCTTGCAGGCGGCAAAAGAAGGCGCAGTTCCCTCATGCTAGGATTCCGCTCCAAGCATGGCTGTTCCCAGACTCGCTGCCTTGCCTAATATAGCTCAGTTCAGAGCAATTTGGGGTGGCAGCTGGGGCTGCTGCCCACAAAAGTGGATGCCATAACAAATTGGATAGTCCTTAACATGCCACAAGACTCTTTCTTGTTTTTGTTAGAAGACAGCCCAGAGATTGCTTCTTTAAAAAAAAAGGGGGGGGGGACCACTAGCAGCTTACTGTTGAGAAAAATCTGCAAGTGGTTTTTCCCCATTAGTTATCACACATGTTCTGGAGTTTTTGCTTTATTTAATCCCACTGATTAATTGGAGAATGACATTTTGATTAATCGCACCAATTAGTGCTTAAAGCACCAAATAACTAGTAATTCCCTTCTTTCCCAATGACGTGTTGTCTTTATGGGGAGCAGGCACCGTTCCTTAACCCTGGTGGTGCCATAACTGAGCTCTGACTTTGGTATTCTGCAGTAATTACTTCAACTGTTCTGAGGAACTCCAAATTCTGCCACAGACCTGTAGATCTGCTAACTGAATCTGATAGCTAAGAGGTTTTTCCCATCAGATGTACTGCTTGCATGAAGGAGGAGTCAACTCTTGCAATATTTTGAATAAATGGATGAAGTTAAGATAAAATTTACTAAATGCAGTTGCAGGGGTTGGCTTCAGACCCATTGAAGTCAGTAGGATTTATGTTAGTCTTGACTAATATCCCATTGATTTGAGTGGGTCTAGTCTAAGTGTGATTAGCTCTGGATACAGTGTCTGGTCTGATGTGAATTAACAGCCAGGTTTTAAATTTCAATTCTGAGATTTGAATGAGAACTTTGGATATCCAATTTAAACATAAACTGGCATTCCTTAAAGAAAAAATGCCTACCTTTTCTTCTCATCGTGAGAATTGGATGATAGTTGCAGGCATAATAGCCCTTGAGACTACCCAATGTAAGAAAAATAAATGAGGTGTTTGTAAGGGTATATGTCTTTATAAATTGACTTTTTAAAGGAAACTGCCAACACTCTTTATTTCTTCACAGATTTGGGTGAAAATTTCAGGTATGGTTGCCCTTTCTGAGGGGATCAAGCCTACCAAATTTTGGCATATTAAGTTATGAAGGAGGCAAGGGTGGTATTCAAGAACAGCTTTGATATTTTGAGGGTCTTTAAAAGAGAACATGCTCCTATTTTCCTTGAGAACTGCTGTTCTGAAAATCCCAGGTAATGTAGAGGCATCCCTAAGCAAGCAAATGGTAACATTTCAGTCTGGTGCGGTGGTTCCAGAGGAAACAGATTTCTCCTTTGTGGTGGGAGACAATTTGCTTCCTCTCCACTGCCTCCCTTTTTGGTCAAGTTGTATAAAAATGGTGCACATAACTGAGCTGTCCCCAAGCCAGAAATGGCTGGGTGCAGGGTTCAGGAGTTAAGATATCTGCAAACCAGTTTAAGGCTTTTTCAAAGAAAAGTGTGGCGACACTGGAAGCATGGGCATCTCACAGTCCTCTCCTTGCCATTCCCAAAGCACAGTGATCAGAGTCCTTCATAAATTGTGTTCTAGGATTAGAAGGGTCTATCGTCACACAACTTTCTTTCCCCTTTGGTGCCAATAGCCTGTTTCATCTGGGAGACTCACAGACCTGGATTGAAACAGCCTGATTCCACTTGGGGTTTGACCTTTGTCCAAATCTGGTGAGCATCCATAGAAAATAATATACTTAACTTGAAGAGAGACATAGTTATGTTAACATTTAGAAAATATTATAAATGGTCAGAAGAGGCCATGAGAATGCATTTGGCAAGCATTGGACTGAAATGTCACTGACAAAACAATCAAATCCATTTGAATGTTAATCCTAGGCATACATCCCCCTCCACCCACATCATAAGTTTCCGGCCTATTTTAGACTATTCCACTATTCATATTGTCCAGTGTATGTAGACCAGGGATCCTTTCATCTTTATCACAGCCAGAACAGGGAAAGAAAGAAAGAAAGGAAAAGCAAGCGGAGGGAAATGGGAGGCTAAAACAATAGAGGAAAGCAAAATGAGGTACAGTACATTGCCTCCATTTTCTCCAATTGTGACCATGTTCTTTTATGTTGATCAAAAATGGGAGCATATATTTCTAGATTTGCATCTTGAAACAGGTAGAAAGGAAAGCAGATATTGATTGATTTATATTCTGCCTTTTTCCTACAAAGGGCTCAAGGCAGCTTACATCATCTCTCCTCCTCCATCTTATCCCCACAACAACAACCCTGTGAAATAGGCTGGGCTGAGAGTCTGTGACTGGCCCAAAGTCACCCAGTTGGCCCCATGGCTGAGCGGGGACTAGAACCCAGATCCTCTGAGTCCCAGTCCCACGCTCTTAACCACTACACCACACTGGTTCTAAGAAAGGTTCAGAGAGCGAGGGTGTGGGTGTGTGTACATGCATGTGCATGCACACACCTTTAGCTTACCACTGTTCCTGTTCTACAGTTATTTGGCAAACCCAGTATTTGACAGGCCAGATGCCCAGCCAGCATTCACCGTTCAGCCTCACTGCATCTCTGGGGCTGCCCTGCCTTTGGGAGGCACCGTCTGCCACTCAGGAGCCACTGTGAACGGCTGTTCTAAAACTTACCTCCAAAACTTGGAAGGCTGAAAGCATGATCTTAAAAGGAAAGATGAGAATCCTACAATCCTGAGGAATGTGATGAATGGTAATTTAAAAGCCGGGTTTTTCTATTTGTTTTAACTCCTAAGATGGGGCTGAGGTGACAGGTTTGGACTCCCATCAGTGGCGCTTTAACTCTTGAGGAAACTGGCTGAATTGCCTCCTGGCTTCAGAAACTCCTGTCAGCAGCCTTTCCAATAGCCTTACGCTACACAAAGACTCCTTATAATCTCGGCTATCAGCAAGCCCAGTGGATCCAGGCCCAGTTGGCAAAAGCATTATCTTCATTGGCAGAAGCCAGCAACTTTGAGGGAGGAGAAAATGGTAGGAGATGCTTGACTTGATGGATGAATTTGTCATGGTTATCTAGTGTTCCAGAAGCCAGGGACAGCCATTGTTATATTATTTCGTCCTAGCACCGAGTAAAGCGGATCACATCCGTCTCTGGATCTCAGCTGTTCCAGGAGGGCCATAAACCTTTGTGGAAAAGGTTCCCTTCCACTCCCAGTCAGGGCCAAGACATTTTGCTGCCTGAGGCAGAGCAGGAAATGGCACCCTTTCCCCTACTCCTCAATCAAGATACCACTCGAGGCTGGTCAAAGCTTTTTGGCACTTGAGACAGAAAATTCCACAAGCCTCTTTCCCATCATCTCCCCTTTCTTGGTGGTAAAAGTACAACGGCAAGTACAGTAACTACATGTTTGTTGCCCTTTTCATGATGCCCCAGCTCAGCTTCCTCAGCTGGCAGCTTCCCTCATGGTAAGGCCAGTCCAGAAGCAGAGCATGCAAGGACTGGGTAGACATCTCCTGC